GTTTTTTATTGTTTATAAAAAACTTGTTATCTTTCCTGCTTGGACTAAATTTTTGTTTTCAGTTCTCTCACACATCGATGCCCTTCAACGTCTTGGCAAATCAGACCAAATAGTAAATATTTTTTATCTAAAGTGGATGGGATATATTTGATAATATGAGATTGGTAACCTCTCAGTAAGAAAAAAACCCTAAACCTCTGTCACAATAGTCCTGACTACAGAAAAGTTTAAACTACAGAATTTCAAAGCTCATTTAATTTTGAGGATGATGTTATTTTATAAAAAAATGTCAGTAGAAAAAATAAGTATACTTGAAAACTACAAACAGGAAAAATGACAAAGACATACTGGTTTCTCTTTGCATTTCATGTGTCACCCTCTTGTAGGCTGAAAGTACCTATCCTCTGTTCTAAGAAATTTACATTTAATTCAGAGATTGTCGTGTTCTTCATAGATAAATGCAATCCCCTGAAGATGTAATTATTTCAATGAATAGTTCAACTGAGCAGTCTGTGCTGATTCCCAACATTGACTTGTCCTTTTTCTGGTAGAAAATCTTGCTTCTTTCTTCACAAACAGAGCTAAAGTGATTTTTCACTTGGATAAATATTTAATTATATTAATATATAATTAAACAGCTACAGTAAGCCTGTTTCCAAACCCATTTCTTCTAGAGATGAGGCATTTTTAACACTCTCTATCAGCACAATTTACTTCATCACTGCCTCTTTTTAATACAGGTTATTTTTATTCAGAGCATTGTCAGTGTGATGGACAAGCATAACGTTTTTGACAGGGCACGCATTAGGGTCTAACTACCAAATTTGAGCTATGTTCCTCTTCTTAATGGAGTGCATTCAGTGCCATACAGAGTGCATCATGCCTTTTCTATTGGCTATCATCTTTTATCATGCACATTTTAACTTTCTAATTACCCTATCCATATGTTACACATGCTTCTAAGCTTCAATTAGTGGCAGCACCAGTTCAGTTCCTACTGCATATTTTTCAATATTATGTTTGGACACTATTGGTGGGGTAGAGTGGGAATTTATTTCCAAAATAAGACACATTTGGGATCTCCTTGTGGTCAGGTTGGTGCTATATTAAGAAAAGTTCTGGGCAATGAAAAGCAGCAGAGACATTCAATTCACCATTCATTCATCCAGAAAGAAATTCAGCTCCTTAAACCAAGGTGTCTAGTTTCATTTGGGCTGCCCTCAAGTGGAACCATAAGCCCCAGGAGAACTCCTGCTGAGCTTTGACCATTAATGGGTGAAACCTTTGTGTTATCAGTAGAGCTCAGCAGAGCTGTACCACCCATTACTGCAGAATTTAAAATCCTGGGTTGTCAGAACAGCTGGGAGCTCTGCTGTCCTGCATCACTGCTGGCCCTGGCTGGAGGCAGGGCTGGTGGCTGTGACAGCAGAGCTAAAGGCGCTCCAGGTCCTTCAGGCTGGGAGGGCCAGGCCAGGCAGGACCCCTCAGGGTGCAGAATAAGAGTGCTTGGCACCTGTGCTGTGAGAGCTGAGTGCTGCTGCTGCTGGGTACTGTCAGTGGGACGCTTTCGAGCTCTGTTGCCTGGCACCTACAGCCTGTGCTGTGAACTTAGACACCCACACATAAACCCTTTAAAGTCAGAGTCTCAGTGGCGAACTAAATTCCTCCCTTTCAAGCTTTCATTTCTCCTTTATGCAACAGTACCTGAGTCTTATGTGGAAGTTTTCTAGACTTCTGACAGGTCAATTTGTGATGCTCATCAGCATGTTTCTGTAGGGAAATAGAACATAGGTAAATAAAGGTAGTAGAGAAAGTAATCTTATGCCCTAAAGAGTTGCAGCTGAGACAATTACTAAAGGTTAGGAGCAGGCCTGATGTTAACAGGCTGCAGCTGTAGCCAATCAGAAGAGTGTTGTAAATGACTGGGGTGTTTGTTTGAAGGAAATTGGAGTCAGTTGGTTACTGTAAGAAGAAGGAAGAATCAGTGCCTAGAGGAGCTGCCTACAAGAAACATCAAGGAGGTAGGAAACTAGTAGTATGGAATCCTTGCAATGTAATGACAATATATTTCTATTTTCTTTTCAGTCAAAATCTCACTTAGGTGCACCAGTCCTGTATTTGAAGGTTTAGACCTTCATAAGACTGCTTCAGATTGTGAAACTAATACATTTATCATTTTCTTCATTTAGTAAAAATCTTCACCTGTTAGTGTTCTAAATGAGGATGAAAAGTAATAAGTAAGCCAAAAATATTTATTCTTTTCAACAGTTATTTTAGTAGCGCAGACTGTGGGTTTTTTGTGTTTGGTGTTTGTTTCATTATACTTCCTGGTAAAATTCTTTATACCCAGTTTAGCAAAATTTCTCATGTTTATCATGTTCCTTAGAGGTTGATGATATTTACTGGGCTGACAGAGCAGAATGTCAAAGTACCAGTTAAATCCCTGGCAAGAATATTCCCAACTCTGCTCTGGATGGAAAACTAAAAGTAGGGGGGGGAAAAAGTATTTCATTTGGTTTTTATAGGCAGGTTTTGCATAGTATCCTGCATGTTGGAAAATCATATTCCTGTGCAGTTTAATTATGTGTTTTCAATTAATTTTCTCTGTCTCTCCAAAGGCAAGTGCATTACTTTGTGTTGTTACATAATTCACAGCCATGTGGAAAAGCAGCAGACACACCATTGGCAAGTGTCTGCACAAGTCTCCAAGGTTTTCACCCATGTTTTCACAGATGTCCTCTTAGAACCCATCTAATCCCCCACATCAAGGTTTTATAGATTATTTGCACTCACTAGGACTGGTGTAGTATAGAGCCAAGTATGCAAAGATTGCCAGCTGGCCAGAATATTTGATAAATGTGAGAACAAAAAAAAATCCCACTCATAGCAGCAAAGTGATCTATTCCTGGAACACCAGCTGGATTCCTGTAATAAGCTATTAAACCAGTGTAGTAAAATGAAACCCAGATTCACTGTGAAGATTATAGAGCAGATCTATTTCCTCTACAGTGAGGTTTCAATTTTTTAAAAATTTTAGATTATTGGTCACTTGCAAGGTTAACAAAAATATGCTATAAATTGACCTTCTCATCCACAAATTTTGAACTGGAATGATCCAAATCAAAGTTGTACAGGACTGTGCTCTAGCACCCTTAAGTATCTGCTTCAGTGTCAAATGACTCTGTCAGACTAAGAACTTTTATAGAAAATTTTAAAGAAATTTTCTAAGAAACTGTACCCTAGTCCTGGAACTGAGCTAATGATTACAAATACCATTTGAGAAAAAAATCTGAGAAAAATCTCAAATTCATACTACTTTATCATAGTATCTCTTTTGCAATAAAGAAGAATTTAAAAGTCTGAAAGGACGTGAAAATGTCCTTTTTCTTCATGGATATGTTTAATAGCATCATCTTGTGATCCCTGCCAAAAATATTAAAACCAAATCTTTCAACTAGAAGTTGCACTCTCTGATGACTCAATCTTTTTAATTGTGGTTCTAAGTAGCTTGGGACCGATATATGACAAACTAAACATCCATGGAGAGCTTAATAAATAAAGTTAATGAATTTAGTAAGATTGGCAATGTTGAGATGCCCCAGTTTTGTTACTGTTATCTTTCTTGATGGAAGCAAAAGAAGTAAAGCATCAAAGGCATCCTAGGCCTCCTTCCATTTGAGAAGAATCAAGTGTTTTCCTAGTCGAACATGCTATGTCTTCTCATGAAATAATATTGCCAAGGATACCTCAGGAATCACAACTCCACAGTATCACCACTGGTAAAATAACACTGGGATGTTTGCTCTTGCTGGTAGTTTTACACAATGAGGGCTTTGATATTTTGTTGCTCTGGTGACTGAGAAACTGCAGCAGAGACAAACTGAAAGCCCTTGGGTCTGTTGGTTATTGTGGCCTCTAATCTCCAGCTGGAATAGGGGGAGAGCAGACATCTGAAGGTAATCACAGAAAAAAACCTCAAACCACATCGGGCTGACAAAGCGCTGCATTCTCAAACAAAAAATGAGAAACACAAGGAGGGTCAGTTGCAGATAGATCTGCTCAAAGCTGCTTAGGGATGGGTACTCACATATCTCAGGTACATCACACATCTCAGGTGACACAGCCTGCAGCAGATCAGTGTGTGCTTGCAGGCTATGGGCACTGCCAGTGGGAAAAGCAAGCAGGATAAAGATGATTTCCTTACTACACCTGATTACCTTTCAGAGTATGGGGGATGGAAACAGGCCAGTGGAAAGGAGAATTTTCCTTTGAGGCTGGATATAGCCAGGGGTTATCCATCTGGTGCATTTGCTTTGTAAAGCTGTCAGATTTTAAGGCAGTATTTCATATGTGACCCTTATCCTTGCAATTGAGAGAATTCTGGTTTATTTCAATGGATTTAAGAATGCTTAGTATTTTCCAAAAAACAGCTGGTAAAAACTATAAGAACTGAAGAAATATCTCTCCAGCTTTCATCTCCCATGCATGATTTTGGTGAGACTAATTAGGGACAAAGACTGAGTTTTGAATCAAATTCCTCTACTTGACATTTCAAACAGATATTTAAAATACTATCAGGGATTTATTTACTGTGTTCTCTGATTCCCTCTGCAGGATATGTGACACCTTCACTAACAGACACAGGAACAGCCATCATTTTTGGTGTGGGCGGCCACAGCTCCTCTGGGTCATGGATCTGCTGCAGAGCTCACATAAGCCTCACTAAGCCTTCTCAGTTGCAGTGGCAGGGAAAGAATTTTTTTTGAAATGCTGATTTTTCTGGCTTGGTAAATTAAAGCCATTCATCTGTTACAGCTGTCTATATCATAAATCAAAAGCACTATTTATATGTATTAACCTGGGGACTTTAGCAGCCAGGGGAGAGAGCTTTGTAGAGATGGCATTTGTGCCTTTAGAAGCCCTCCCTGCCTCCCTCCCATTGAAACAGACAATGTTTAGCACAGGTTAACAAGATTTCAGTTTTTCCTGATGCAAAGAGCTTTGCTGTGGGTGGGGATCTTTGCAGAAGCTACCTCATCGTGAATTCCTGAAGAAAGGAAAATTGTTTCTTTCTGTTGCAAGAATTAAATTGCTGGGGACACCTTTTCTTTCCTCTTATTTTTTTGCTGCTGAGGTGTTTGCTGCAACTGCAACCACTGAATAGATCTTCCCGCTCTGTCCTTCAGAGCAGGCAACTTCTGTTTGGTCAGTGTTTACAAATGACTGAATGAGAGTTTACAAATAGTTTTGAAAATGATGCCTTGTAACAAACAAAATAAAAACCAGGTTGTTGCGTCTCCAGCATTAGTTGATTATTAATAAGGTTAGGGGACAAATATGTAAGAGAAATGTTGATATCTAGCAATTTATTTTCTTCCTACCTATCATTTCCACAGATGATTTACTTTAATTCCTGAGGTTATGAAATTAGGGTTTAATACACTTACCTGTGGAGAAATAGCTAAAACATGAAAACAACAAACCAAACCACATCAGAAGAGAAAAACAGATTTCTGGTGCTTGGATGAGGATTAATTGTCCTGGGAAGGCAGCTTGCATCCCAAGCAATTCTTCATGCCACTCAACAGGCATTGCTGACAGGAACAAGGGGAACAAGAAGGTAAATAATGCTCATGAAGGTAAATAATTCTTACTGACAGTTCTGTGGCTCATTGGTGCTTGGTATCTTTTTGTTCTGGCATGGTCTGATTCAGCTCCAGTCCCAGGATGTGCTGCCTTGGGTGAGCTCTGGGTCTACACCAGCAACCTCTGCTTCTGAGCTGTGAAGATTCTTGACCAGAGAATAGTAGACCTTGAAGAAATAATAGCTTGGGTTAATGCTACTTTGAGGATGTCTGCACTTTTTCCTCATTATATACTGTGGGTAAGATTTAAAAATTGTGAAAACTTTGGGAGCAGTTGAAATGTGTTAATAAAATCAGCAGTAAACTGTAGGGGCAGTCATACTAACTGAGGCTTGTGACAGCAAAATCCAAAAAGCTCAAATAACAATTTTTATACAAATCTTTAAAAATGAAAAAAGAAAGATCTTATAAAAGGCAGAAGCATGTGATACCCCCTAGCAAACTGCAAAGATTCAATAGAGATAATTGATTTAACCTAAAGGTTACCAACATGCAGATTAAATTCTGGTTTTGTCATTTTTCAAGCAAGGCTTATGAGTTAAAAATCAAGTTGGCCAGCATTACTTGGCACGTTTTAAATTCTTTGGCTGATTTAAGATCAGCCAGTACTAGCAAATGCTGTTTTCCTTTCCTGGATGTGTCCCCTTGAGGGAAAACTCTCATTTTTCTGTCTTTTTTTGTTTGTTTGAAACAGAGGTCCACAAAAAGTCTGTCTGAAGAGTCAGTGATTATGTTTAAGTGTACATCAGTCTCAAAGTAATTTTATGTACTCATCAGACTGCCACTGGTGCCTGGCAGTAGCTTTTGGCACATGTGGAAGTTCATTTTACAGCTTCTAAATTCCTACTGTGGGCAAATTGACGATGTATTAATTTTATGCCAACATGTAAAACTACCAGAGTATTTCACTATTTTGTTTGAATATGCAGAGAAGAAAAATCAGTCACCTTCAAAAAGAATCTTAAAATCTGTTATTTCATATTTTTATAAACATTCCTATAGTGAAGAAGAGGAAACCCCTGCAAACAGGGAGTTGTCTCTATTAAGAATGAGTTAATTGCCCAAAGAGGTTATCATAAACCTGTGTTTGAATTTCAGACATAAACATGAAGAAAAGAAAATATGAGCCAAGATGGAAATGCCATATAACCCATGAGACAGGAGTAGTTTGAGAGACATCTGGGAACATACATTTAAAATTTTACTTAATCTGACCTATTTACTGTGTGCTTCTGCTATTATTTCCAGTTGATTACTGCAATTATTCACTGAAAAAGAGATTCATTAATTATGGTCCATAAGTAAAACAATGATATGCTTATTTTCTAATCACTAATCATTGTTTTTAGAATTGCAGGGTGGAGAGGAGTAAAATAAATATCAGTATGTCCCGTTTATTAGTCTATACTTATCATTTAAGCTTGGCATCACATTGTAATGTCACAAGCACAGAGAAGAATTAAAAATTCTTTTTAATATACAAAACATGGATGGGGACAACTGAATATTTTCTGCCTAGGCCTTAAGTTAAAATACTTAAGCCACAGGGTTGCACAAAGAGACTTTAATAGCAGGGAAAGAGGCTGAAGGCTCTCCCTGCACAGAACTGCCCCAGCTCAGGGGCCGGAAACAGAGAATCTGTGTCTGCCCTGACCCTGCCACTGGCTGCAGACCAATTAGAGACGTGTGAGATATCTTGTTCACTGTCTGCTATCACAAGCACTCATGTGGAGCACAATTAATACAGGTCTACACTTTCTGGCTATGCTGCCTTTTTCACCTTTGCTGCTAGAACTCATGGTGAGCAAAGCTAATATCATTCATTAATAAATTCTGTGTATAAATAGTTTCTGTAGGAAGGGAATTACCTGTCCTGAGCATGAAACACTGAAGGATGCAGACATCCTAGAAGCTCTTGCTCTACTGAGAAATACTATCCTCCTGATTTTTTAAAAATGCTTAAATAAAATCTCAGCAAATTTATTCAACACTGTAGAGGACAGCTGAGATGCCATTATATTGTTATATTCTTAGAAATCATTTGATCAAAATTTGGGGTATTACAGGCTACTTCAGAAAAAATTGACATTGGAGCAGCATGCTCCTGACAATCTTTTGTTTCATTTAGAAGGATACATAAAGTCCTGACAATTCACAGAAAAATTGAGCTTCTAGCAACAGTTCCAGCTGGAAATCTGTACTGACATAATGAGCTAAAATCTGACTCCCAAGGCTCCTTTCATTGTGTCACACCCATACTTGGTCAAGTTTTCTTTTCAGTCATGTTTCCTGTATATTTAAACAGCCTTTCTCAGATCCCAGCAGAAACCAAACCAAATCCAAACTGCACCTCTGCCTGGAGATTATTTTAAGTGCTGAGCAGTTACATTCACATACATGGAGGTGTGGAGGAAGCAAAAGGAAAAGAAGCAGAAATATGTATTTAGCAGCCTTAGGAAGTTTTGCTAAATGACAGACAGCAGTTGAAGTCCGTCTCAGAGAAGCTCAACACAAGCCAGATAAATTCTCTATTTCCACAGAGCACCAGATGGCTGGAGCTGTTCCACATCATCCGTGGTCCAAGTCTTCTCTCTTGTAGGAGACAAATGAGCTGAGGTGGTACCAATCAAAGCTGCTTCACAGAATATCTTCCCCTGCATTATGGTCTTCACCATTTGGTTATTGCCTGGCAATTCTGCCAAAGAAATGCACGTGACTGTAGAGTAGGCATGAACTGCAGTCTGCCTAAAGCCCTTTTGTGCCATCCTCCTTCTTTACAAGGCTTCAATCTCAAATTATCCTCCCAAATAGAAGCCTGTCTGTTTCCTATGCTCAGTTCATTGTTCAGGGTTAACTTTTAGAAGCAAATGCCATGATTTGTGACAGCACAGGTGAAAGGGATGTCTGTATTGATTGAAAGTCCATCTAAAGAAACACCATAAACAATGATGAGCATTTAATCGATTCTGTAGATCCAAAGAATTAATTCTGCTTACCAAAGAAAGTGGGAAAAGCCTCTTACCACAGCTTTTCCTTATTCCAAAATGAAATTACTCTGGTGATTAAGAGAAGCTGCTATTAAATTACCTGCAGCTGACAGAATTAAAGTGAAGACAGGAGTTGGTGAAGAAAGATTGAGTTCAGAGCACAGTTTATGCAGGTTGATTGCATATGACAGATTAATACCCTAGTGTAATACAGAGCAGCTTTGTACTTACTAAGAATTAAAGTGATTCTCACTTTCAACTTGCCATCTGTATGTGTGCATATGCACAGAACCCTAAGCAGACATTCTAGACTAGTGTAGCCTACAAAAAAAAGCATGTAGAAATGCTAAAAGTCCAGCAAAGTCAGGCTCTATGTGCCTGAAGCATGTGAAAACCTTAAAGCAAAGGCTTTCTTCAACCCACCAGCTTTGATATTCCAGAGGAATTGGAAAGAGGAATGTGATGGCCCAATGTGGGAGAGCTTTCTCAGACATTTTAATGAATACATGGTTACCTCAGAGGATAATTTTTTATTTCATAAACCAAACAGTACTCACTCTGACCTCCAATGGGCTGAGGTTTAGAGAAATAAATAGCTTCTAGACCAAAACTGTAAATGTTACTGCAGGAATCACTTAGTCTATAATACAGATGACAAATTTGGAATTAATCATCATTCAAAATTCAAAGAAAATTAAAAATCCGGTCCAGAGATCAGGAATACTGCTGCTGTTAAGTTAAAAAAAAAAAAAAAAAAAAAAAAACCAAAAAAGGGAAATTAGTTTTGCTTTCATTGTTAAAAACAGAACAGATGAACAAATTTCTGTTGCCCGACGAAGGAATATGTTCACCCCTTAATCTTCTCTTCAAAGTGATTAAATAAAATGTTGTGGGGTTTGTTTATTTTTTCTCTGTTTTGTGTTTCCCAGTTGTATGTGTGCTCTGAGAACCCCTTTCACTGTTTTAGTGGCCCTTTTGAACAGGGATTTCATGACCAGGTCCAGTAATTCAGTGGTAATACCACTACCAACTAGTTTGCCTTATGACAAAAGTATACTGGGTACCTGATGGAAATTATATGAAACTTAAAAATCTATAGACTGTATATGATTCATGGTTGGCAAATAAGCAATATAAATCAGAGATGTACTTGTTTTGTTAATTTTTGCACTTGTAATGTCCAGCACAAGCTCCTGCTGATAAATCCTTACTATGACGCCCCTGGTAAATTCTGCACATGATGTACATGTCAAGGGTTGTGCTGGATATGTGATGTTTTCCCTTTGTATATTCCCAGAGAACACACACAGAAACAGAAATTACAGTGCATGCACAAACAAAGGCAGCAACAGGAAAGAGTGTCCATATTTAACACTGTTTAGTACTGGGATGGTAAACAAAAACTTCAACCTGAGAAGCACATGAAAGTTGTGAACTTTGTTAGGGGCAAAGGATCTTTGAAATGTTCACAGAATCTTACATTGTCTGTAGTTTAATTTAAATGTTGAATTACTTGGCTGGATTCTAACAAAGCCTTTATAAAATGTCAAATGCAGCTGATTCTCCAGGAGTACAATGTAATGCATTTGTGTTTAACACACACTGAGAGCATTTTAATAACTTATGAAATGTACCTGCTAGTCACTTTTTAAATTATGCAAATCCTTTTAATTTTTTCCAGGTTTCTTTTTTTAAATCAGTGAAAGATTAAAATTTGGCATTTGAAACAAGCTATTATAATAAACAAAGCAGAAAAATCAGCTACTCAAATCTAATGGCATTTTTATTCTTTATTTTTTCTTTTGTAATTTCATAGAAACATAAAATTTCATAACAAACGACCTCACTGCTGCAATTTGCTATATTGGAGGTAGATGAAATTTGTAGATAATTTGCAAGGTAATTACTGACCTCTTGAGTTGACTGTCAAGACAGAAATTATTTTCTTTTACCAGCATTTTCTTATTCTGTATTAACTTAATGCTGGCAAAGGTTTAGAATGAAATAATCTAATATACACTGGTCATGTCAGAAAAGATTACTTCTTTAAGGCTAAAATGCTTAACACATCATCAGTTGAACTCTGAACTCCAGTATCACCTCATCAGCTAGATTTCATCCCCTAGATATAAATATATTTTATAACCATTTGAATTTGAATAATGATGATCCCATCCAAAATATGCATTGGAGTCTAGTCCCTTTGGAGCTGATGATGCAGATACCAATGCTTCAACAGATGCAGAATTTTGTCCTTCCTTTAATTTCCCTTTTTAAAAAAGAAAATATAGCCTTACTTATGGCAAGACTTTCTTCTCAGGAAATAATAGGCTGGCTAATTTTTTAAGACAATCCACGAGTCTCATATATAATTCCACTTTCCTCCCTTCCCCTCCCTGCTCCCTCCCTTGCTTCTGGACACCTATACCCTCCCTTGTAATTTTAAAACTTTTGTCTCCTTTCCCTCTATTTTTAAAAATCTCCCTAACCTACTCTGTTTCTCCATATTAATCAGCCATTCAGCCTTCATGCAACCACATGAATTAACCACAAAGAGCCCCAGGATGAAAAATTCCTAGGATAGACTATATCACAGTATAAAAGTTGTGGATTAATAGGCAATTTAAGTGCTGTTCTTCCAAATCATCTTTTCTCCTCTTGAATTCTTTTCTAACCTGTGGTATTATGGTATTTCTGATGTATTTGTTCAGAGAAAACCATTTTTATTTTACTTCTCCTATCCAATTTTCTGTCTTTCCATTCTTAATGTGACTGAAAATTCTTGAATATTGGTAATTCAAATGGGATTACATGTATGGTGACTTCTCCTGGCCTGAAAGTTTTTAGGTGGATCAGAGATGTTTCTTGCCCCAAAATGGAGTACAGGATAAACAGACCTCTCAAATCAGTAGAAACCTTTAAGGCTTCTGCTTGTATCTATGCCTTATATTTTCCTCAGTAACCTTTACAAATGCTTATGCTTTAGGATACATTGTAGCAAAGAGAAAAGAGACTGAATGGGAAAAATAATTTTCTGGAAAAAAAAATCCTGTTGAAAAATATAATTGATCTGAATATGAAATATCAACATTGAAGAGGACTCAACACTGAACATAAAATTTACCCAAATCAGCAGCACACCTTTGCCAATTTAGCACTTTCTGGAGTAGTAATTAAATGTAAATGTAAAAAACCATGAGTCGTTGTGTTTCATCTGATTGAACCCAAATTATGAGAATTCAGTTTGTTGACTCTCCTGAGTGAATTTCACACCAATCTGACAAGATGTTTCAAATTTGCTTAGAAGAAAAAAATAAGAGCTTGATATTGACACAATAAATTATTTATTTATAGCAGGGTTCTCTTAATATCTGCAGCTGATTAAATGTGAACTTGATTTTTAAAGCAGAGTGTACAACAGCTCCGGAGTCTAGAAAAGTTAGTCACTGTCACCTCAGATGTTAAGTCTTAGAAACTGCAAACAAGTTGGTGATGAGGTGGAACCTTTTTCCAGTCCAAGTTCAACAAGTCACCTGTTGGTTCCACCTGCCTGCAGCCAAGGTGTCTCACAAGAAATTTTTGTTAACAATTTTTTATATTAATCATATAGGAGAAGTGCAATTGAAACGAGAGTCATAATTACATGCTTTTCAGCCTTTAAAATGATCAGAAATTTCTCCTTCACACAATGAATTTAATGGTTGTACTTTTCTGCCATTTTTGAAGATGTGCCCTGTGATGGGATGCACTCTGGTTAATTCCACTCTCTTCATAAATGTCTCTGAAATCTATAAAAGTGAAAGATCCCAGAAACTCATGCAAATTAGTATTTTCTTGAAGAGAAAGTTGGATATGTAACACAGATATTTCACACCCACCATCTGCTGGTCTAGCAGTAAGTTTGTCCATGGAATAAAGCATAGTTTAATAGGAAAAAGAGAGCTGGTTCCCAAGATGGCTTTATTCTTTACTGTATGAGGATGTCTATTAACCATGGACACTCAAACAGAATTCCCTTTAAAACTTCTAAGGAGGACAATTTTGCATAACTTTCTGAATGTTAAAATTTCCATTGAAAAATATTGGACCTAGATCTGAATTATGTGTTCTTGTGGGTTTGGGTTTTTTTTTTTTTTAATAATGTCATTTTTTAATTTACTTTTAATCAGAAGACTGATTTTAAAAGTGATAGAAAGGGAAAGAGTGATTCTCTCTACCTACACTATTAACTCTTGATGAAAACAGAATCATAGATGTACTCATATAAGAGAAAATATAATTTTGTCTTTTTGGAAATATGAGGAGTTATGTACTCCATGTTCTGCAGTTTATAAATCTGTTTCTTGTGTGTTCAAAACCAGTTTATATATTTTTTTTCTGCTCAAAGTTTAAATCCCACTGGACATGCTAGTTTTTTGAGACAGAGATAATACATAAATAAAACCTCATGGCTCTGCCTTGTCATTTTCTTCTTTTCTTCTCTACTTTGTTGCTTTATTGATTGTTACAGTAATCCATAAATATACGTACCACTGTTTTAATAATGCAAAATACTTACTTTGTAGCTAAGCCATTAATAGACATCATCACTTGGTTTTCAAGAACATGACTAATACATCAACAACAGTGGGTTTTATAACTCAGTCATTCATAGTGAGCCAATATTAAAAAAAACTTGATTATGATTAAGGGCTTTAAAATTCTGGAGTGCTGTCAGTATAGAGAAATTACTGCTGCAGAAGATCAGAGAGAAAAGAATAATCCAGGCATGCTTTTCTAAAACAGCTGGATATCTCCCTGATCAACCACAGTGCTGCATTTGAAGGTACAGGTAAACAAATGGACTCCAAGGTATAATCAGTGAGCAGAGAAAAAGAAAAGATTGCCTAAGTCATGGACCACATGCACTTCTTAGCTTGTTGTTCTCAAGTGATGTTTGTCCAAGCATGTCCTGTGCCAGCATTTGCCCTTGTTACAAACAGCATCCCACATTGAGCAATCCCAGCAGAGGTGATACAGACATGGCAGAACATTGGGTAGCATATTTTGTTCTTAGAGAAACACGTGGAAATATGTATTTTCTACATATTTTTGCAGTGTTTGAAACAGTGGTGCTCTGAGATTATCTACACAGTAACGAAAGCTGTTACAGGAGCAGGACCACTGTATTGCTATCTCTTGTAGAAGCAAGGGTTGTGAGAAAAGATTAGATCTACTGGATCCCCATCCACCCATGAATTCTGAATTAAGAGTGTTACTGATGATGAGGTGTAATAGAGTACTAAAAACAAGCCTGAGTGGCAGTAATTGTACTTTTAGATGTAATCTATAAAATACTCTAATGCAGATGAAGAACATGAGTTTTTGCAGAACAATATTTATCATTCTCATGTGACAAGGTTTTGATTTTATCAGGAATAAAAGTGGGTAGAACGTATTTTAGTTCTGTTCCTAAACAGGGAAAATTGATGGAGTCAAGATGCAAAAAGCAAATTTTCAAAAAGAAAGTTAAATGTCAATGTGATAGAAAAATTGTAAAAAGGCTTCCTATTGAATTGGAACCCCATTTGTTCTATTTATTGAACCTAAAATAATTTAAAATAATTAAAATTCAACTTAGGCCCTTTTAAAAGAGAAATTTAAACACCATGGTTTATAGAAAGGCACTTTGACAAGGAGAATTCTCTGCAAGGCTTAAAAGAACATGTATGGTATTAGCAAATGACTGGTATGTTCTATTTCCTTCCTGAGATAGACATAATCTTTTTTTCA